GAGTGTGAGGAAGTGTCAATTCGTCTACCGTGAGGACCGCGAAGGCTCGGATCAGCTCATCTACTGCGAACAATTCGAGGACGAGGATCCGGATGGGAAGATTGTGCTGTTGAGTTCCGACGATTTCTTCGAGCACAAGAAGGAGTTGAAGAGGGATGTCATTAATTTCGCTACTATGGCGGAGTATATTGTGGTGGCGTTGAGGGACAAGGACGAGCAGCGTCTGAAGGTTGATACGTCTATTGATGGAGTCAGCTTTGCGGACGCGCAGTTCCCGAGTAATTTCAAGGTGCCGCATCAGCAGGCTTATACTGTGCTGGATTCGAGCACGCATGCGGTGTTTTTGCATGTTACGGTTAATAATCGGGAGGATAGTGAGTATGGGAGTATTGTGAAGAGTAACAGCAATGGGACGAGTTATGTGTTGAGTGTTGGGGAGGTCAACAGGAATGCTCCGGGGTACGTGGATTTCGAGAAGATGCTGGGGCTTGAAGGCGTGGCGATCGTGAATCGAGTGGCGAACGTCAAGGAGACCGATGACGGGAGCAAGAAGAAGTTGAAGACGTATATCACGCACAACGACGGTGCGGACTGGGCTTTGATACCTCGCCCTAAGGACCCTGCTAACGGCGAGCCCTACGAGTGTAAGGCATCGAATGACGGGAAGTGCAACCTGCATCTTCATGGCTATACGGAGAGGAAGGATCCGCGGGATACTTTCTCTTCGCCTTCAGCTGTGGGGTTGATGATTGGAACGGGCAATGTGGGCGAGTTCTTGGGGTATAAGAAGGATGCTGATACGTTTGCTACACGCGATGGTGGTGTGACGTGGACTGGTGTAGCGCCTGGGACGTGGATGTGGGAGTTTGGCGATCAGGGGAGTATCATTGTGATTGTCAAGGAGGGCGAGGCGACGGATATGATATTGTATAGTCTTGACGAGGGATTTTCGTGGGATCCGTACACTTTCTCGGATGTGGGGATGATGGTGGAGGACATCACGACTGTGCCTTCGGATACTTCGCGGAATTTCATGCTATGGGGCAAGATCAAGGGGGATTTGGTGTCGGTGAATCTGGATTTCAGTGGGCTGGAGGAGAGGAGTAAGGCTTGCTCGGACCCTGAGCTTGATTTGGGAAGTGAGAAAAGCGATTATTATCTTTGGGAGCCCAAGCATCCGCTGTCGGACGACAATTGTTTGTTCGGGCACGTGTCGCAGTATCATCGGAAGAAGACGGATAGGCAGTGTTATAATGGGAGGGAGATTCGGCATTTGCATGATGTGGCGCAGAATTGCTCGTGCACGAGGAGGGATTTCGAGTGTGATTACAATTATGAGCGGCAAACGGATGGGTCGTGCTCGTTGGTGCCTGGACTCTCGCCACCCGACCCAGCGGCGGTGTGTGCGAAGAAGGAGGTCGTGGAGTATTATGATACTACTGGTTATCGACGGATACCGCTTACAACTTGCGAGGGCGGGCAGGAGTTGGACTATACTTCACGCACCAGGCCTTGTCCGGGTCGCGAAGAGGAGTACAACAAGAAGCACGGCATCGGTGGGTTTGGCTTGTTCTTCGCGATCGTCATACCTGTTGCCGCGGCTGCGGCGGTCGGGTGGTGGGTCTGGCAGAACTGGGAGGCGAAGTTCGGTTCCATTCGGCTGGGCGATGGGTTCCAAGCTGGCGCTGGAGGAGGGTATGGTGCGTTTGATAGGGAAGCACCGTGGATCAAGTACCCCGTTATGGCGCTTAGTGGAATTGTGGCCGTGTTGGCTGCGATACCGATGGTGGTGGGTAGTCTATGGCGGACCGCGAGTACGAGGTTTGGGAGAGGCGGTGGTGGTGGTGGGGCTGGGTACGCGAGACCTTTCACGAGTCGAGACAGTTTTCAGCGAGGGAGAGGGGACTATGCGATTGTGGACCCCGATGAGGGTGAGCTTCTGGGCGAGGAGAGCGATGAGGAGGTTTAGGAGCTTGCCCATCAGACATGAGCTCAACTTGCATCGATCGCTTTACTCTGTGTTGATGTGTTTGGATAGTAAGCGTCTTTCACTGTGCATTTAGACTGATGATACCATGTGTAAACAACGGTTCTTATCCCTGCCTCGGGTGGCAGCTGCAAGATATCTGCATGAGCAAACCATGGCAACGCCACTGCCACAGCAGTGAGCTCGACTGTGGTCGTGCTGGCTGGACCTCTCGCATGATTACTCCCTCGTTGCGGCGCTCCATTCCACTACACAATCGGTGAGTGTCCGTTTCCCTTCTGGGGTAGCCTCTCACGGTCATTACAGTCCACGGCTCGCCATAGCGGCATAGCTCACCCCCGGTTGAACTGCATTGGCAGGTGCGGTGGGCGATCCCCAGCTCGATGAAACTTGAGCACCCCAGCCATCATCGTCGTCCCGAACACTGTCTGCCGCGCTCCAGTCTACTTCACTGAAGTCCCAACCATCACCCCGGGCAGACCTGGCCCAATGTTTGTCTTCTTTGTTGGTCTCCGACTCCTCCAATGCCCTCCAGAAGGCTTTTGACGCGGTGTACTCCGCTAAAGTCGGAATGCTTTTCCCAGTTCTCACAGCTACAACAATTAGCTCAGCTTCGAACACGACATGAGTGGCCACTCACCATTCACCTTCGCCCGCATGTACGCGAGCACAGAATCTCCCTTATCCATCTCCGTCCTCAGCGACACGACCTCCACGGGTCTAGAGGCTTCAGCCAGCGCCTCACGCATAGCGACCATCAATGGGTCGTGCTCAGCTAGCTCGATGGCACCCTCGAACAAAACGCGTTGGTGCACCAGTCCTTCTTCGTCATGACTGTAAGATGACGCATATGGGCAGAGATGATGCTCCTCCTTCGTCGAGAGGGTTGCGTCGTAGATGTCGCCGACAGTTATGCCGTTGGGGTTGAACAAGGGCTTGGTCGTTCTTGGTGGTGGCGGCTGGGGATGGCCCCTCCAGACCGACACGTACGCAGGAGAGGACCAGTATCCCCCAAGCTCGGACTTTGACCAGTGAGCACAACAGCTAGGCCGGACTTCCATCTCTTTGACTGGTGGACTGCAGATCGGCAAATTACGAAAAGCACTGCCCAGGAGAGGCAAGTTACCAACGTTCGTGTAGTCGTAGTAGTCCGAGTCCGAAACAAAGCAGGCTTTGACCGTTGGTTGCTCCGGCAGTTGTTGGGTGGTATGAGCGTACTGGAAATCCACATCGCATTGAAACCCGACAAATGCGCGTGATGAAAATGGCGACTGCCAGAAGCCGCTTCTGTCTGGCGCGAAGCCGAGCGCATGCTGTATGCTGGAAGAACCTCGCGCCACTGCTGCCGTTGCTCGATTGACTTGTGAAGCATGAAGTAGGTCTTGTCCCCGTACCAAGTAGGTCAGTATCTGCTCGCACAGCTCTGGGATACCGAAAACTCGCTCGGCGGATTGCGCAGACTTTTCTGTAGGTTTCCAGACTTCCGTGCGGTGCTCGTTGCACGCTGTCAGCATGTGATCTATCGCTGTTGCGGCCTTTTCCGTGCTATCTAGAGCCGACTGCACATTGTCTGGAATCTTGCCGCCAGCTTGCAGCGCCGCGACGAGCTGACGGTACGCAGATCTGAGTTGTCCCACCTCGGCCGACGCACTCCATACTCCCCCCAAGAGTGCTTCGTAGTGTTCGTGCTCGGCGGCCCTCACTGCTGCGGCGTATGCTTCGTTCTCATCAGCAGCCGCCATTGTGTTGCTGTATGATATTGAATCGGTGTTATGTTGATGTTGATGTTGTGAAGGAAGTGAGGGTGAGGTTGGCGAAACGGCTACTTGCATGTGATGGCTTGGCGTTGTTTCACAACATGGGAACGGCAGTCCGTCGAGATCGCTATGAAGGAGATTGAAGCCCTGAAAAGCTTGCTCGCTGTTCATCACGCCGCTGCAGTCTCTCTGCGCTGCCAAAGGATCTTTACGCCATTGCACGAACAATACTCCTGCTCAACATCCTCATTTTCCTCGCGAGATGAACCCCATACTCCGATGGTCTATGCTATGTCACTGTTCCTGCACCAATCCCTCCGCTATCTGGTTCCGCTCGCCCCGACTCAGCCAGACGATCAAGAGCTGGCCGATCAAATTCGCATGGGAGTAGCGCGACCGTTCAATGCGTGCCCCAACTCACCCGAGAGGGCTGAGCGACATGTGCTGGGAAGAGAACGCGATTGTCGTCTCGCACGCGACAAACTGTCATAGGCTATTTCATATCGCTTCGCGCTGAGTTAATAGTCAGAATCTCCGCAGCGCGGTATTCGCCATATGCCTATGCCTAGTCTTTCTCAAGGATTGAAAGACTGGCTCAAGAAGAGATCTTGACAGCTGATGTGGTGCTTGTTGACCATCTCCGCGTCGTCATCTCCGCATCATGCCTACACTTTAGCGTTCGTGGGCTTCGCGGTATGCTCGAGTAATGGAGATGATCAAGCGCCCTCCCTGCCAGTTGCATGTAGCTGAATGCGCTTGTGCCGGTCCAATATGCTCCACGATGTCTACGAGACCCGTGCATCGCGGAGATGGCAATCGGGAGCTGCGTGTACCAGTGTCTCCACGCTGTTGATCTTGCCTTGCGCCGCTCCATCACCTTTCGTGACATTTTCATGATGTGTTGGGAGAAAAGATGGTTCAGATGCTGATCTTCAACCCCGTCATTGCGAAAGTCCTCTTAGTAGCGATATCGCATAGCGGAACGTTAACATAATCGTTGCAATTTGCTGTGCTGTTAAAATCAATGCCGTAATCAGCCAGCGAGGGTAAAAGGTTGGCGAATCTTCAGTGTCAGCGTCAGAAGGAATAAGCAAAAGGAGAACAGCCTCTTCACTTGACCTTCTTTCATGGAAATGGCAAAAGGAACAACTCCATTTGTCTCACTCCTAAGACGCCCACCTCCCAGGAGGTCTGGTGGATGTTAGGTCGGATCGACTCCTGAAATTGCGCAGTTTTGAATTCCCATTAAAGGGGGCCGACCATACTAGGAATCGAACCTAGGGCTCTTACGAATCGATTGTGCTCTTGCAGATGAAGGCAGCCGACAAGTAAGGATGTTATCCATTACACCATATAGTCTTATTGCTTGATGATGTTAAATTTCGATCATATCAATATATAGTCTTACGGCTAAACTCCGGTCAAGCATTGCGCATCGAAGTCTGAGCTCTCAATGACTCACTTATGTCGTGTGTCATGTCTGGCGGAGGCTAAGAATTGGTAGGGTAGTGTCCTGTCGTAACACTGTGCTTCTTCATGTACATCCGTGCGTATATGTGTTCTGTTCTGGTCTCTTTTGACATGGTGCAGGTGGTACAAGATCATGCGTGAAGGTAGGAGGGCTGCAGCACGAGCTTGAGCAGGGATTGGCAGGTAAAGATTGAAGAGACAACAATAATGGTAAATATGACCAACACCGAGAGTGTGGAGGTGTACACAACCTTAAGCGTAATGCGAGAAGGACGGAGGGAGAAGTGAAGCTTGAAGAGTGAAGTGAGGTTGAGGCTTGGCGCCAAGTCTGCTGATATTACCACGTCGCCTCTCTACATCGTTGCCACAGTCGTCGAATCTGTTAAGCAAACAGCAAGACGACCCCTGGATCTGCTCAGCTCCTCGACACCAAACACTTGCTGAACTCGCAGAACGCATTTCGCAGCAGGTGGCTGGCGGCATCATCCCAAGCTTGCCGTCTATTCCTCAAGTCGAGTATACCTGTGACGTGCCAAGATGACGAGGACATACGACGAATATATCAACAGAGATCGTGCCGTTGGTTCCTCAAGTCTGTGGACCCCGAAAGAGCCGAAAGTGGACAGGGGATGGTGTAATTCGGCAGCAGGCCTTTCGTATATGGCCATGGCTATCAAAGATAGCGATGTGCTCGTGCCATCGATGATGCCGTGAAAGGGTCAGGCACTTGCCATCACATGCCTCTTGCCTCTCGCGCGCTGCCCTAAGAGCTTTATGCCAATGCACAACCTGTACTACTGCTCAACCTCCTCATCCTCCTGGTGAGAAACCCCGAGACCATCGATCCTCCACGCCATGTCACTGTCTCCGCCCTCAATCATTCGCAGCGGCATGCCACTCGCATCTTCACCCCACTGTGCCGTAATGCCTCCCGCCATAGCCGTGAACTCGAAGTCAGTTTTCTTGTGGTACTCATACTGAGGCGGAGGTCTCGGCTCGACGTGCTCGGTCGGCAGTAACGGGCGGAAGATGATCTTACCGTCCCTGCCTCGCTGGACGGGAGGCTGAAGAGGATATTGTGAAGGATGCTGCGCGAAGAAAGCTGCCTTTTCTGCCTTGCTGAACAAGTGACCGAACAACTGCTTGCGGGCTTCGAGGTAGCTGTTTGAATCTGCAAAGCGAGTTAGTCAAAGTCCCACAACCTCGAATACAGTTGGTGCTCTTGCATGGCGATGCCTGATGTGCAGAGAGACCCATCCCTACAGGAATGTTCGCGCAACGTACCATGCACATCCTCAATTTTTATGATGCCCTTGTGAAATTGGCCATGCCATCTATATTCCTTTCCGTACAGCGTGAGCGCCCGGATGTACTCTGCTGCGTTCGTCTCTGGAAACCCATCGCGCAAAATTGCTTTTACGGCCGCTTGTGAAGGCTTGAGGTCTTTGATGGGTGGCTCAAAGAGCTTGATTGCCCAGTTGGTAAACGATGCATGGAACTCGGCAGCATCGTCACCACAGCCGATGGGCTTCTTGTTCAGGGACGTGGTGATCTCGAGTATGCTGCTGAAGGACGCAAACCAGCAGTAGGTGATCATGGCTCCCGGCTATGCGATCAAGTGGATAAGCAATTGTACTGCTGTGGAAAGCGATAGGATGGTGCTTGTGACGCGGAGAATGGGGAGTGAGCGTGTGTGAACGATGACTTGCCATAAAAATCGGCTGCCACGAGGCAACGACAATACAAACGGAATCGATCACTCGGAGTGCCAAAACGCAAAAAGAGCAACTCGACAGCAGACTTCACTTACTCTCACAGCACCTCCCAGTCCTTATGAGCGTGTTCAGTCTGACGTCGTGACTTGGATTGTTTTCCAATCGGCCATCGTCGTTCTATAATGAATAAGGTCGAATTTTAGCAATATAAACTGTTGCGGCAGATTCTCGGCTTGAGCACGAAGCTTGAAGAGTCGGGATTTCCATACGCTCTTGCGCCAGTCGACCATCTTCGCCATATGTATCGATTGTGAGCCCTTGATATGTATTCATGTGAAGGACTTTGTTGTACGCTTTTTGTATGCCTTGTCTTCCTTTCTCTTAATCATAATGGCACGGGTGTATGGTTCGAGCGAACATTGGGAAGGTGCAGATGATCGGGGTCGGGAGTGTCGCAATGATTGGCCATGCAAGTAAAAGAACTATACATGTACGGAGGTGCAGTACGAGAGCGTAGCATGGCGCTGAATCATGGTTGAGCAGAAGGGAGGAGATGGAAGTGAGAGTGAAGTGAGGTCCGGCTTTTGTGGTCTGTGCTCACGCCAAGCCGTGAGGCCGCCTGAACGAGGTGGAACAAATCAACAACGATATGAGCCAGGATGCAAACATTGGTACTGTCCCTACCAAAGTAGACTGCTCTGATCATCGCTGTACCTACGAACACTTCGGTACTCGATACGCCACGAAATCTGTGTCATCGTCTACCACGATTGCAGCAATCGTAGCACTCATGCACCACCTCGACCATGATCTCTCTCCACTGAGCACAATGCAACGCAAAGCTATTATTACATCTGCAGAGTGCCTCGTTCTAAATAGCCAGCGCATACATCTACCAGCCAGAACTTTCGAATACATCTGGATCGAGCCCCAAGCTGCCCTGCTTCTCTTGGTCAAATTAGCAAACTGGTTGACCTGCTCTTCCGCTTCGGCGTCCCCGCGCGCCCAGACTGTTGCATACTCTGTTATTGTCGGGATCTGATATCCGCCTAATAGCGCTGATTTCGTGGGCGATAACATGATCACTGGAGATGCGAACGTTTACTTTTCATTTATGCTTTATCGTAGTCTTCCTGTGACCTTGCTTGACGGTCCCCATCCCTTACTCGACCCGCTCAATATCTAGAAATTGACACCGGCTAGCTTGAGAGCCTCCTGCGCAATGTACATCAACAGCGTGGGTTCGTCTTTGCCCCCGAGTACGGCTAGAAAGTATTAGCCGATGACTCCCAAAGACCTATCGCACGAAACTTACCGGTCATCTTCACCAGCATGTATGCCTTCCTGCGATCATCGTCCAGCTCCCTCATCTCCTGATCTACCTTTCGGCGGATCTCGGCCTCGCGCCTGCTGACCTCGAGGCCCTCTCGAGATAAACTGAAGCCCTCGATGGACTGCGCCATATCGCTATCTCCGCCTTCAATCGTGCGTAGCGACATGCCACCCAATCCACCCCACTGCTGCGCTACCCGGTCTACAGATCTTAGAGGAAAAATCTCCGGGAACATGGTGGACAATGCGACCTTTTCGTCCTTCGTATACAGGCAGCCGAACAGCTCAGCCCGGGCGATCGCAACTTCCTTGAGTGCTAGGATATTGTCAGCTAAAATTGCAAAATGTGGTAGGCATTTAGCTTACATTGTGGATCCTTGATTACGCCTACTGTAAACTTGCGCTCGTACCGATACTCCCGCCCAAACATTGTGATGGCCGCAATGTAGTCTGCTGCACTCATGTCTGGAAAGCTCTTACGGAAGATCTTCCGTATGGCCGTCTGTGAGGGCTTGAGCGACCCCTTCTGCGCTATGCGGATCGTCCAATTGGTGAAGGACGCAGCAAATTCAGCTGCATTGTCGGCGTAACCAGTAGGCTTTGTGTCGAAGAATGTCTCGATCAGGTGGTGGTCGCAGGTAGGAACGTAGTAGTACAGTGCAGTGTTGGTGTTTGTGTTAGCCATAGTGATGTTGTTGCTGGAGTGCGCGGTGTAGTGTATGTAGTGAGATGTAGTGAGAGTGAGAGATAGAAAAGGAGTGCGCTCTGGTGGAGGTTGGAGCCTTGGCGTCTTGCTGTAGACGAATGCGGCAAGAGCTGTGTTTGCGCTTCACTTGATCAGCACATCCGACTCACTCTGCTTGACTTATGCTAGAGAGTATCTGCTCGCACAGCTCTGCAATGCCATAGACCTGCTGCGCAAGCTGCGCGGATCTTTCTGTGGGTTTCCAGATCTGATGTGAATGACTGCTGCACGATAACAGTGTCCGATGTGTAAAGGCCGAAGTCTTGTGCAAACTCTCCACAGCTGCGGGAAAATGTCTCGGGATATCTTTGCTGCAGTTGAGGAGAAGTTGCAGTTCGCCGATAGTCGAGTCTTAAGATGAGAGGCAGTCAAGGAGCGATCGTACTCCAGGACACAATTCATCGTAGTGCCCGCGCTCTATCGTCTTCATGACTTCGTCGTACGCTGTGTTGTTACCACAAGCCGCACGATGGTTGTGTAGGACGAGTATAGCAGATGTAACCTTGTCGAGCATATTGGGTTTGCTTGTGGGCAGCGGTGAAGCCTTGGCTTCACCCAATGAGTGCAGCAGGAACGGCGTTTGGGCTTCACTTGGTCAGCATATGGATCCGGAAATATGCTGTTCGCAGCATCCCAAGCTTACCGTCCATCTCCAAATTGGTGTACTCGGCCTGTAAAGTATCAAGACAACGATAACTCAGGGAGAGTGTCAGAACATGCTTTGTGCGAAGTCATCGTCGAGGTTAGTGTGCAACTTGCATAGCCAGTCGCCAGCAGAGCATCGGCTCATCCTTGCCGCCTTCACTCAAGGCAGTGTACTCAGCGTGTAGAGCATGAATGTGGTCAAGAGACGCGAGGAGCATCGCTTGACCTCGTGAGTTATGAGAAGGTACTGTCGTAGGTACGTACCTCGTGTGGCATTTGCGGTTTCACGGCCGCCGCATATGCTCAGGAAGCTGTACTCGGCGTGATTCACATCAGCGCAGCGAAGAGATCGTGGGATCATTGTGGTACTTGGTAGCCTCATCGCTCATTCCTCGCTACCACCGCTCCAGGACTTTCCATCTCCACAGCCGCTCCAGTCGGACTCGTAGGCA